TGATAGCTAGAGGCCTTTGTTTTTCAGTAGGTGGCACGATAGCACGAGTTACTGGTTTCTTCTACCTGGACCACCTGTGGCTATAGTTGAGAATCAGTACTTTTTACTTCATGGTGTTTGATAGGTCTCTTAGGTCTCATAGACTTTGCTCATTTGTCCTTCATTCTTTTTGGTTTTATTCCTCAGACTGGATCATTTCAGCACATTCTCTGTTCTGCTGTTGAGTCCCTCTAATGAATTTTTCAATTCAATTATGGTATTTTTTAGTTTCATGATTGTATTTGATTCCTTTAATAATTTCTATTTCTTAATTCATAGTCTGAGACATTGCTAATCTTGTTTCCTTTAGCTAATGGTTTCATTTAGCTCTCTGAATATGTTACAGACAGGTAGAGTCTTTTGTCTAGTAAGTCCAATGTCTGTGCTTTCTCAAGGATAGTTTTCTGCTAATTTTTTTTCTGTCTTGTGAATAGACTGTTTTCTTGTTGTATGATTTTTTGAAACTGCTCATTTTTAAATAATATAATATGGCAACTCTGGAAATTAAATTCGGCTCCCTCTCCAGAGTTTCTGCTGCTTATTGTAGGTTGTAGCTCTTTAGTGACTTTCCAAAATTCTTTTTGTAAAAACTGCGTGTAGCATGTGAAGTTTCTATTTCATTAGTTTAGTGGTCAGCTAGTAGTGTGACAGAACTTTCCTTAAATGCTTAAAGCCACAAAGAAAAGGAAATGAGAGAAAATACTCTCCTGGTCTTTGCAGATTGACTGTGTGTACTGCCCCTTCAACACTTACCTAGGGTTTACAGCTCCGCTTTGGCCTCCACTTCCTGCTTGGACTTCGATGTAAAGACTGACAGGAGGTAAAAGCTTAAGGTCTTTGCACGTTTTTTACGAGGATGTATCCTGCCTTGGGTTACTGGCAGGTCCTTCTAGATTCCTTAGAATATGAGGGTGCTTTTTGAAGCCCTTATTCCTCAAAGTATGTCACGCCCGTTTTCCGGCCAGGCTTTCAACTCTGTTTTTTGTCGCAGCTACTACCTTGCGCCTAGGTGGCAGCAGCATGTTCATTTACCTTCAGAGTTTTTAGAGAAGCAGCCTTTGTGTGTGGCCTTTTTGCTACCCAGATTGACTTCTGAGTTAGGTGAAACAAAGGCGAAGCCCCTTGTCTCAGTTCTCCTAGGAGCCTCCAGAAAAATGAAAACAAACACTGTGCCTTGGGAACAAGGTCTGTTCTGCTTTCTCAGAACCACGCTAGGAACACAGGCTGCCATTTTTTTGAGGCTGACGGGCAGAAGGTTGAGGAAAAGAAAGATGAAATGCCATCAAACTATCCTCCTGGGTTTCAGGGTTTTTTTTTGTTTGTTTTTTAAGCATTTACTTGGCTCCTATAAGACTTAAACTATTTTACAGACTTTCAACAAAATTAACATCTGCCAGTTTTTGTCAGTTTTTCTAGTGTTTCTGTGGAGGGGATAGGTCCCTACAGTTAGTCATTAATGCCACTTTTGTTGACATATATGCAAATTTTTATTGGAAGTAGATGCACCAACATTTGGGTGAATGTAATATGGTTTTCCTATTAGTCCGAATATGTGACCCTTTATTAAAACTTTGTGTACTTACACTCTAGTTATGTCATAAACATCTGCATATATTTCAGAATAATAAGTAGGTAAAGAAGGAACATGGAAAATGTTCCATGGAAAATGACAGATGTGCTTATGAATCATATAAGGGAATTTAGGGATGGAGTTGTGTACATACTTATATTCTTTGATTATAACTAGCTACTATGCTCACTCATTTTCTACTATTAGAAATTAAGTCATTTTAGCTTCCTGCTGGTGGAGAAGGCAACGGCAACCCACTCCAGTACTCTTGCCTGGAAAATCCCATGGACGAAGGAGCCTGGTAGGCTGCAGTCTATGGGGTCGCGAAGAGTTGGACACGACTGAAGCGACTTAACAGCAGCAGCAGCAGCTTCCTGCTGGACTAGGAAAAACATCTTGTTTTAATGTTTTATTTAAAGTTAATGAATTCTGTGGACTCTGAGGAACATTAAATCTCTAAGAGGCCACTCACATGTTTTGACCCTAGAGGCCAAAGCTCATGTGTTGATCCCATAAACCAGTCCTTCTTGAAGCACAGTGTTCAGTGTCTTTGATGTTGGTATAGAGTAACCACTCTCTTCGTGTACCCTTGTGGGAGATTTTCCTAAAAGCAAGAATGGGAATACTTGGCAAGCTCTTTGGTTATAAGATCTCATCTCCCCAAATGACCATGTTTGCTGAATTATAATTGACAAGGATATTCCTTCACATGACAGAAAAAGCAAAATTACAGTAAACACACAACACTATTGGGCTTACTCATGTGAATATCAAGTGTAAGGAACAATGTGCTGAGGAACATGGAGCACTTTATTCATCAGATGTTATTATATTAATAGATGATATTTCCATATTAAGATTTAAATGGAATTTTACTCCTTTAGATGGAATTTTATATTAAGATTTTTCTCTCCAACTGAGTAGGCAAGTTAATTCCTTTTATTCTAACTGGAGATGGTTAAACATAAAATCTGGTTTTAAGGGAGACTTCCATGCAGTGAATCTAGCTGAAGTGACTTTGAAGGGTATAATACACCACATACAGATTCATTTTTCAATTTAAATTGACAAAAGTGAAGATATGTTATGTTTTGTATGTGGTTTTCCACATGCTACATTCTGAAAACAAACTACATTTGAGCTACTTCCTGTAGTTTTGTCTGTAGCACTTTCCAGGAATGACTTATTTTGAGGCAGATTTTTTTCCTTTCCCTAATGCAATAATTGTCTATAGAGGAGCAACAACTCTTCAAACTGAAACTCGGGGGGGAAAAAGTCATAGGTGGCATATATTTAATACTTGGAGAAAATTACAGAATATAGGCTAGAAATTTTTTACTCATCTGGGATAGGGAAGTTCTCTACCTCAGTCACAGTGTCTGAGAACTAGCTGACTTTGGACATAATGAAACATTATTAGGCTTTATAAAGATATTAGATGTGTGCAGCTAATAAGAATTTTGAGCTTTAAGGGAACAAGCAAAAGTAAGTGTGTAAAATAAAGAAGCTTTACTCAATGTAAAATTTGGCCTCAAACTCCCAATTTTGATGCTTGTCCTGAATGAACTTTAGAAAACAGAAGAGTACTCTAACAGACTGAGATTTACAGGTCAAATGCTACCTAGGTGTAGACATTAAACAAATTATCATGATCACTTACTGCTTTCCCATAAATGCCATTCCAATACTGAATTGATCATTCTGTGTACAGGAACTGGGAGAGTAAATGTGATTTTTAATATAGATTTTGGGAGCATGTGTTAAGGTTAACATAATTGAGAATTTACATTATGATTTTTGCTGAATATCATCGTGTTTCTTCTTGCTAGCACACACACTGCCCTGGGATTTAACTTCATATATCCTTGTAGGTTTTTATGTTTCCCATTCTTTACTGAATTTTATAGGTACAAAATGTGCAGTTCACTGGACATGCACTCGAGTCCTGGTTTGAGACTACACAGCTGGAACTCCCAACTAACAAAGATTTCCATGGTCTGTTACTCAGATCTTAAGGAAAACTAGATAACAAAGCCTAAAAAAGTTTATTGAGCTGACTAAAATTAACTGTGCTTCTAAATCCTTCTTTAGATTACACCACAGAAAGTGGAAATTCAGGTTTGAGAATCTGAAAGTCCAGTTTCTTTGTGGCTTTCAGCTTCCAGTACTTAAATAAGTCAGATAAAATATACACTTCCTGTCTAAATGCCTAATTTACAGAGTTGCTGTGAAGAAAAAAATACCCTAACAAATGGGAAGGTGCTTTATAAGCTAAAATACAATATACAAACATAATAATGGTTACTCTCCTATATCTGATTTTTAAGAACGTTTCATTGAGGCCCTCACTCATGTTAGGATAACTGTTCTCTATCAGGGCTTACCAGGTGGCCCTAGTGGTAAAGAAACCGCCTGCCAGTGCAGGTGATGTAAAAGATGTGGATTCAGTCCCTGGGTCGGGAGGAATCTCCTGGAAGAGGAAATGGCAACCTGCTCCAGTATTCTTGCTTGGAGAATCCCAGGGACAAAGGAGCCTGCTGGGCTGCAGTCCATGGGGCCACACAGAGTCGGACACGACTGAAGCCACTTAGCACACACACACACACAGCCTCTGTTCAAGTCTGGGAATGAGTTTGGATGACTAGCCTCTTCCACACGACACAAGGGGATGCTGGCCCCAGTGGGTTAGTTTTGTGGTTGTAGTTCTGGACTCCTGGGTCACACTTCTGTGTTGGGGAAGAATTCATTACCAGCTCTGCTGTGCTGCTCCCACTGCCTGTTCCCTGAGGCATGCTGGTTTAGTCATGTCTGCTTTAGATTTCTATCCCCGGAAGGACCTCCGTTTCCCAGGGTAGGCATCCGTGTACTATTTGTCCAGCTCCCTGCCCCACCTCCTTCATCTAGTTATGATTAATAAGAACAAAACACTATTTGTAACCATACACATCCTTTATACTGAGACTGAGGAAAGTATAAGTTTTCAGTACATGACATATTTTCATGCATACACCTATCTCTGTACAATCCCAAGAACTGTTGAGGATACATTTCATAGTTTCTCCTTTACTAACATTATAGTTTTCTTTACTAATGAGTGAACAGCTTAAAAGCATGAATTCATAATTACATTGTTGTTTATTTCGATCTATAGCATACACAGACTATAATTTGCTGGAAAAACTCTTCACTGTTGCCTTGTTCTTTCCATGTTAAATTTAACCATCCATCTCTATAAATTAAGTTTACTAGGAAAACTCACATTAAAAAAAATTGTACAAGAAACAGCTGGATTATCACAATCAGCAAGGAAATGGACTCGAGAATTGGAACTAGTATGTCTGGGACACTGTCTTCATGGTCAACAATCACTTTATGCAAATCCCACTCGGCTTCACTTAATTAAAAAGCTGAAAAAGAAAGAAAATTCTGTGCTGAAAATAAAACACAGTGTGCTTTTCATTCTGCATAAACTTAGTACAGGTAAATACAAAATAAAAATGCAATGTCATACACAGTTACATTAATTCACTTCATTGTAAGTTTACATCAGGGCAATTTCTGTGAACTAGATCCTGTAATGGGATCAGGTGAGACTAGGTCAGAGGTGGAAGCAGATGCTGATAAGAACTTGAATTTGTGTTGGTTAAGTCTGGTTAACTTCTGCGAGCCATTCTCAGTGTTAGTAAGACTACTAGTTAAATTGGTATTTAAACTGACAACACAGGGGAAGAAAGGGAATGAACTGAAACATATACTTGGATCGGGTCATTTCAATATTTTAGACAAAATATTTTTTCTGGTTATTTAATCAATATGCATTTACTTAAAATAACTAAAGACTTTTAAGAATTTTATAATTTCACTATATTGAACAGTCAAAAATAATTTATTATAAATCATAATAAAAGTATCATCAGATTCTGATGAAACAATACAAATAGATGTTTATACATAAAGGAAAAAAAGTAAAAAGTAACTATTTTTGCCTTTCTTGATTTCCCTAGGCAACACTTTTATCTATGAAAAGAAATGTAAGTTTGTAATATCATAAGTCAATTTGAATAACATCATTAAACTTTTGTTGGCTATTTGTACCTTTCTGCTAACGTGTAGCAAGTTTGCTTTTTATAGTCTTGACAACATAACTTTAGGACAACCAGAGATGAACCAATTGTTAACTAAGTATTAAAACATTAATATTAAAAATATTAATGGTTACTATAGTTGAAAAACCATGTAGTTGGGAAATTGTTCAAACTAATAACTTTAATACTTGAACACTTAAATTATAATATCCTAGGCATATGTTACTTCGTCTTTCTGAACCTCGGTTTCCTCATTAGTGAGAAGAATGCTTGTTTTGGATGATCTCCAAAGTTCTTTCCAGTACTAATGTTTATTTTAATCATGTGATACTATGTAAATAGTAAAAAAATACATATATAACATATATATACTATATAGTGAATATAAATATACTGCATATACTATATAAACAGTAACTATAAAGCATTATATAAAATATTTAAACTTATATATTTATATACATATTATCTCTATTAGTTTATAATATATAATAAAGCAATTATGAAATACAGCCTAAACTTTTCATTACCCTATCTTTTTCTGAGGAATAAGTTATGACTTAAGTACTGCAAGGGTAACATTGCCATGAAGATCAGCAGTAACATTCCTCAGAGCATTACGATATTGCTGCTGTTCAATCCACCCAACCTTTAACAACAGTGGTGGCAAAGCAGGTGTTTATATATATCACATGTAGATGAACACTTTGGCCTTCTCTGTCCTCGGTTATAAGGTTGCCCTGAAGATAAAGCTGACAGTTAAAAAAGGAAACTTCACCATAAAATATTTAAAACTGTAATGAAAGCTGCAAAACATAATTTAAAAAATATTTGACAATTTACAGGGTTTTTTTAAAAAATAAAAATAGTCTGAACATTTCAAGCTATGGCATACTAAAGATCGCCTTTTATAAAAATACTACTATCATAATAGCAAGAATATGACCCTTTATGATCATTTTATGCTTGCTAACTTTTTGGTTCTGGAAAGATTAAAAAGGTTCAATTTTTATATGTTGTATGATTATAACAATAACAGTGTGTTGGGGAACATGGGCAGAAGAGACATAGGTTTGGAGCAGGATGAGCTTGGCTTTGGAGCTGAGGCTGAGGTGACAATGTGATCTGAGGTCTGGTTCTAGGTCTTGGGTCAGAATTTGGCCTGTCTGTTGGGACTGAGAAGTCATCTCAAAGGAAAAAGGAAGGTCTAGGACTATCACGTTACAAAATCCAGGGCATAAGATATTCAAGAGGAGATGGTTAACTAGAATCCTAGAAGGGTTATGTGGGTTGCCACATGAGAAAAGGCATCTGGGTTTGATTACGGGGTGGCCGCTGGAGACCATATTACATGTAAAACATGTTCCTTTTTTCCTCCTGTGAAATATGAAGGAGGCATCAAACAGTGGTTGGTATTTTGTTTAGACTTCTCTTAAGAGTAATTAATTCACCTGTTCCCCAGTGTTTTAAAACTTCAGAATGGATGAAGTGCTCTTGAATGAATGAATTCTGTCCAATTGAGATCAGTTTAAATTCCCTACCGAGATCTTCAGCTAGCCAGAATTTTCTTTTCTAACGTTCTCACTTCCTGTTCTCAAACTGGGGAAGAAGTCAGAGACTTCTGGGTATGTCCTGGCACTCTGTCACACAGAAATTGCTTACATGGATAAGAGGCAGCTACTGATGTCATCCTGGAGTCAAAAAGTGTAGAAGGGAGGAAAAGCCTTGGTTCTTTACTCAGAACAAGGAGAGGCCACTAGCAAGCTCACGCCTATTCCCCATCCCTCGGAGTTAGAACTTAATGATTCACTGTTCTCGGGATTTTCTAACCTTTATCTTCACAAGCGTTCTAAGGGGATGCCAGGGAGAAGTACATGATGGCTGCCAGCCAGGCCTCTTTGGCCAGAAGCCCTGGGGGCTCTCTTCTTTGTGACAGAAACTTACCGAACCCCTAAAAGTCTTCAATTCTGAAGTACATGATCTAAAATAAAGGTCTACAGAAATTCAGGATTTTATTAGCAGTTGGGAAACAGATCTTTGCAAGCAGTAAGCTTTCTGAATCTGTAGCTACACAGGGTGAGATCTGTCAAGTCTTATGACTGCTCAGGCCACATCTCTGTAGCCTACACAGAGGGGGACATTTTGGAAGAGGCTGGTAACATTATCGTTCATAACTCTATGTGGTCAGAAACATGGATGCTGGGTCTGGGGGAAAAGACCAATAGAGCTTGTATGTGGGATGAGGTTGGTGGTCAGATAAAAACAGAACTTAGGGATCACAGGAGCTTCCTCCTCGTTCCCTGCGTTCAGGGGGTTGCTGAATGGTGGAGTTTCTGCCGGAGTAAGAAAACTGTATTTATACCATGAAAATAAGCCTCCAGAGCTTCCTCTGCTGTGTGTCTCTGCTCAGAACTTGTCTTCTGAGGTCTGAGGGGTGGGGATATGCGCTGCAAAATAAAAAAAGCCTAGATTCTGAGTTTTCTATTAAAATCACATTGGATTTATATAGAGGTTCCTAATATCTAGTTTTGAATTACCAAACATTGATTAAAAAATTAGTCTGTGTTTAGAAGACTTGTATTTTATTATTCTGAAAATTAAGACTTATACTGTTAGTGGGAAAAAGCATCTGACTACATTTTTCCTCGGCAGAATTCAGTATATTTCTGTTAGCTGTATAGTTCTGTTTTCTTCCCTAAAGTAATAAAACAGAAATAACCAAATACAGTCATATTTTGTTTGAAGTGGAGGGCATAAGCATGCATATGAATATTATTGCTTAAAAAAAAAAATACTGTGCTTGTCAGTGGTTAATTCTGTGGACCAAAGTCTTATTACTGGAAATTTTATCCAAGGACTTGTTCCTGCAGCAGCTAAGTACAACAGCATGAGACTGGAATATGAGATCTCACAGTTCAAAGTTATCTTGCATTTGTAAAACAATAGTCTGCCACAACATGTCTTACTTATGAGATAAAGACTATGGTTGTTATCTGAAAGATGAGGAAAACTGAGGCTCAGAGAAGATGAAAAGACTTGCCTGAGGTTACAGTTTTAAAGTGCCATGGTCCAAATCTCATCTTCTCACTCAAAGTCCAGATCACTTTCCAATACACCACAGTGAAATACAACAATATGGAAAAAATAGTCCTTGAGATTCGATTTCCACTTGTACAATAGTATTACACAGACTTAGCACTGTATTCTTTATGTAGACACTCTCCAGATCTTCACCGACTCATATCTAAGTCTTTGGTCCTTCACGATATTCTTCAAAGCTGGAACTCAGCATCAGAAAAGCAATCCCAGTGAAATTCTTATCAATGACATATACTGTGGGGGTTGATCACCACACCATTTCTGTTTTCTATTTGTACAGCTTAAGACTGTATTTTCTATTTTCCTATAGATGAAAGATCTACATTTAAGTAAGATACAGAAATGAATGGGATATTGTTACATACTGCATGTCCTGGGATTTTTTTGCCTTGCTGTGCTGGTTCATTAGTATACTTGACTCAAAATTCATCAGGAATGTCTTTCATGTCTAGCTTTTATTCTGTACTTTCCCTTACAGAATGCTGATCGATTTTTTTTTTTTAACTCATTATTTCTCAAAGAACCAAAGACATCATGAACTACAGGTATCTTGTTAATAGTTTTTCTACATCCACTGTACGCTTAAGTAGTGTGTTTTTTGATGCCGGCCAGCTCGGGGTCATCTGAGGCTGCAGGAAGTATCTTTAGAGCCCAGGCTCTGGAACACTGTTTGCGTACACTGCACCCCTTCAGTGTGGGTAGAACAACCCGACAACTCCATGGGGGTGTCACGTGATGGGAATTCCACCTTCTGGAGTTGCGCAGTGTGGCAAACCAATGCTCCTCTGTCCGCTGTTTCTATCTTAATGGTTCCTGTTGCATTTAGATAAGAAATAAATAAAAAAATGCTTCTGAGTAAACATATTCAATTAATAAGTACATGATGAGCACCTGCTATGTGCACAACACTTTGGAGATATTAAAAAGGCATAACCACGACCTTCTGTAAAGTACCTTACAACACTCTAGAAAGAAAAGAACTTCAACACACAAAAGTTACATATGGATACTTAATGAAAAAGGTAATGTGGTAAAATGCTATTGAATAACCAAGCGCTGAAATGGCAAGAGGTAGGTGAAGTAATTTCTTCTGAGAAGGTGCAACATTTCATGAACTATAAATTGATATGTACTTTATCCCCTCAAAATTCTCAGACACATATTCATTATTATGCCAAGTTTACAAATGAAGAAATAAGCTTAACAAAGTTGTTATCCAACCCCATAAAAACATACTTTTACAGGTG